TAGACTAGACTATAGACTAGACTATAGACTAGACTATAGACCAGACTATAGACTAGACTATAGACTAGACTATAGACTAGACTATAGACTAGACTGTAGACTAGACTATAGACTAGACTATAGACTAGACTAGACTATAGACTAGACTATAGACTAGACTATAGACTGTAGATAATGATATAATGACTATAGACTAGACTATAGACTAGACTATAGACTAGACTATAGACTAGACTATAGACTAGACTATAGACTAGACTATAGACTAGACTATAGACTAGACTATAGACTAGACTATAGACTAGACTATAGACTAGACTATAGACTAGACTATAGACTAGACTATAGACTAGACTACAGACTAGACTATAGACTGTAGACTAGACTATAGACTAGAATATAGACTAGAATATAGACTAGACTATAGACTATACTATAGACTAGACTATAGACTAGACTATAGACTAGACTATAGACTAGACTATAGACTAGACTATAGACTAGACTATAGACTAGACTATAGACTAGACTATAGACTAGACTATAGACTAGACTATAGACTAGACTATAGACTAGACTATAGACTAGACTATAGACTAGACTATAGACTAGACTATAGACTAGACTATAGACTAGACTATAGACTAGACTATAGACTAGACTATAGACTAGACTATAGACTAGACTATAGACTAGACTATAGACTAGACTATAGACTAGACTATAGACTAGACTATAGACTAGACTATAGACTAGACTATAGACTAGATATAGACTAGACTATAGACTAGACTATAGACTAGACTATAGACTAGACTATAGACTAGACTATAGACTAGACTATAGACTAGACTATAGACTAGACTATAGACTAGACTATAGACTAGACTATAGACTAGACTATAGACTAGACTATAGACTAGACTATAGACTAGACTATAGACTAGACTATAGACTAGACTATAGACTAGACTATAACTAGACTATAGACTAGACTATAGACTAGACTATAGACTGACTATGACTAGACTATAGACTAGACTATAGACTAGAACTATAGACTAGACTATAGACTAGACTATAGACTAGACTATAGACTAGACTATAGACTATAGACTAGACTATAGACTAGACTATAGACTAGACTATAGACTAGACTATAGACTAGACTATAGACTAGACTATAGACTAGACTATAGACTAGACTACTAGACTAGACTACTATAGACTAGACTATAGACTAGACTATAGACTAGACTATAGACTAGACTATAGACTAGACTATAGACTAGACTATAGACTAGACTATAGACTAGACTATAGACTAGACTATAGACTAGACTATAGACTAGACTATAGACTAGACTAGACTAGACTATAGACTAGACTATAGACTAGACTATAGACTAGACTATAGACTAGACTATAGACTAGACTATAGACTAGACTATAGACTAGACTATAGACTAGACTATAGACTAGACTATAGACTAGACTATAGACTAGACTATAGACTAGACTATAGACTAGACTATAGACTAGACTATAGACTAGACTATAGACTAGACTATAGACTAGACTATAGACTAGACTATAGACTAGACTATAGACTAGACTATAGACTAGACTATAGACTAGACTATAGACTAGACTATAGACTAGACTATAGACTAGACTATAGACTAGACTATAGACTATAACCCGTTCAGCACGCCGTTGAAGGAAATTTGAAATCAATAACAATCTTCTCTCCTCTCTATCTGTAATGATAATTAATTGTAATTAAATAATAAAATTTTTATTGATTCATTTTACTTATTTATGTAAATTATACCGGTAAAACATCATTCAATATCGAGGCAATAAATAATTCATTCATTCAATCATTTTAATCAGTCAGTCATTAAAAATGATTCTTAAAAAAAAACTGATCAACAACGCATCGGCTCTATCTAATGCACATTTTACTTTACCGACAGACAGATAGACCGACAACTATTGACAACACAACAACAACTTACTACCTCCACTTGAATAGCGAAAAAAAAGTCTAGAAAACTTGACTTTGAACTGTGTACAAAAAAAATAGAATTAATATAAATAAACAAATAAATTTTTAAAATGTACAATTTTTTCAGTTTTGTAGACATCGCATTTTTTTGTTGCAATTTCTATGTACAACAAGTATGACTAGTTTTGAGTAGAGAAAATTTTTTTCGATAAACTGCAAAATACATATTTTTATATCTGACAAATTAATTTTTCTAAAATAACTTTCGCTCTCCTAAAACTCTCTCTGTGTTTGATGCTCTCATTGTTTATCGACATTCTGGCTTAAAACTCAAATAATCATAGCTTAAACTAGTCATAGCTGAGAGTTTAATTGCAATTGGAACCGCTGTCGATTGGACAGCTAAATGATGTTTAGCTAAATAAGTAAATGATATCCGATCATCCGTTGGACTACAATTTAGTTCATAGTATAGTCTGGACTATAGCCTATACTCTAGACTATAGAGCAGTCTAGTCTTGTCTATAGCCTTGTCTATAGTCTGGTCTATAGTCTTGTCTATAGTCTGGACTATAGTCTTGACTAAAGTCTGGACTATAGACATGTCTATAGTCTGGACTAAAGTCTTGTCTATAGTCTGGACTATAGCCTCGACTATTATAGTCATGTCTATAGTCTAGTCTATAGTCTAGTCTATAGTCTAGTCTATAGTCTAGTCTATAGTCTAGTCTATAGTCTAGTCTATAGTCTAGTCTATAGTCTAGTCTATAGTCTAGTCTATAGTCTAGTCTATAGTCTAGTCTATAGTCTAGTCTATAGTCTAGTCTATAGTCTAGTCTATAGTCTAGTCTATAGTCTAGTCTATAGTCTAGTCTATAGTCTAGTCTATAGTCTAGTCTATAGTCTAGTCTATAGTCTAGTCTATAGTCTAGTCTATAGTCTAGTCTATAGTCTAGTCTATAGTCTAGTCTATAGTCTAGTCTATAGTCTAGTCTATAGTCTAGTCTATAGTCTAGTCTATAGTCTAGTCTATAGTCTAGTCTATACTCTAGTCTATAGTCTAGTCTATAGTCTAGTCTATAGTCTAGTCTATAGTCTAGTCTATAGTCTAGTCTATAGTCTAGTCTATAGTATAGTCTATAGTCTAGTCTATAGTCTAGTCTATAGTCTAGTCTATAGTATAGTCTATAGTCTAGTCTATAGTCTAGTCTATAGTCTAGTCTATAGTCTAGTCTATAGTCTAGTCTATAGTCTAGTCTATAGTCTAGTCTATAGTCTAGTCTATAGTCTAGTCTATAGTCTAGTCTATAGTCTAGTCTATAGTCTAGTCTATAGTCTAGTCTATAGTCTAGTCTATAGTCTAGTCTATAGTCTAGTCTATAGTCTAGTCTATAGTCTAGTCTAGTCTAGTCTATAGTCTAGTCTATAGTCTAGTCTATAGTCTAGTCTATAGTCTAGTCTATAGTCTAGTCTATAGTCTAGTCTATAGTCTAGTCTATAGTCTAGTCTATAGTCTAGTCTATAGTCTAGTCTATAGTCTAGTCTATAGTCTAGTCTATAGTCTAGTCTATAGTCTAGTCTATAGTCTAGTCTATAGTCTAGTCTATAGTCTAGTCTATAGTCTAGTCTATAGTCTAGTCTATAGTCTAGTTTATAGTCTAGTCTATAGTCTAGTCTATAGTCTAGTCTATAGTCTAGTCTATAGTCTAGTCTATAGTCTAGTCTATAGTCTAGTCTATAGTCTAGTCTATAGTCTAGTCTATAGTCTAGTCTATAGTCTAGTCTATAGTCTAGTCTATAGTCTAGTCTATATGTCCTAGTCTATAGTCTAGTCTATAGTCTAGTCTATAGTCTAGTCTATAGTCTAGTCTATAGTCTAGTCTATAGTCTAGTCTATAGTCTAGTCTATAGTCTAGTCTATAGTCTAGTCTATAGTCTAAGTCTATAGTCTAGTCTATAGTCTAGTCTATAGTCTAGTCTAATAGTCTATAGTCTAGGTCTATAGTCTAGTCTATAGTTCTAGTCTATAGTCTAGTCTAGTCTAGTCTATAGTAGTCTATAGTCTAGTCTATAGTCTAGTCTATAGTCTAGTCTATAGTCTAGTCTATAGTCTAGTCTATAGTTCTAGTCTATAGTCTAGTCTATAGTCTAGTCTATAGTCTAGTCTATAGTCTAGTCTATAGTCTAGTCTATAGTCTAGTCTATAGTCTAGTCTATAGTCTAGTCTATAGTCTAGTCTATAGTCTAGTCTATAGTCTAGTCTATAGTCTAGTCTATAGTCTAGTCATAGTCTAGTCTATAGTCTAGTCTATAGTCTAGTCTATAGTCTAGTCTATAGTCTAGTCCTATAGTCTAGTCTATAGTCTAGTCTATAGTCTAGTCTAGTCTATAGTTAGTCTATAGTCTAGTCTATAGTCTAGTCTATAGTCTAGTCTATAGTCTAGTCTATAGTCTAGTCTATAGTCTAGTCTATAGTCTAGTCTATAGTCTAGTCTATAGTCTAGTCTATAGTCTAGTGTATAGTCTAGTCTATAGTCTAGTGTATAGTCTACTCTATAGTCTAGTCTATAGTCTAGTCTACAGTATGCACTAAGGCTAGTCTACGGTCTGAATTGGAATTCAGTCTATTGTCTAGTCTAGTTCATAGTCTAGTCAATCGATCGGATTATTGTTTGGTTTATATTTAGATCTACAACATTGACAAAAAACGCTTGTCGCTAACGATGTGTTTCACTAAGCCAGTAACAATAAGAGAAACCACAATTGAGAAAGAGTTTACGTGCTCGGGGAATGTGTTGTTAAAGTGAGCCATCTTCATAGTGGCGAGTACAGAAGATCGGCTTAAAAACAGGCCTCTAACTAAAAAAAAAAAACTCAACACTAAAAACAAGTGTGTTGTTTATAAGGGGGAACAAAAGAGGATCGTATAGTATATTGTTTGTGTGTGAGGAATACTATAGTCAAGAGTCAAGACTATAAATAAAAGTTTAAAATAACGCGAAGATTCATAATGAATTGAGTCTTCTTCATTTAAGCTTGACAGCAGAGTAAACAGAAAAATATTATAAAAATTAAACAAAATTTAAAAGTAAATTTAATAAAATATATAAATTAAAAATTAAACAAATTTGTTTTTAAAAGCGGTTTATTGCAATATTTGTAGTGAAGTGAAAACAATTTAATCGTGACTAAATAGAGGTGATTGTTAACAAAACAATTTTGAAGTTTGATTTTAAAGCGAAATTATCGAAGTGCAACCAACAACTTTAAACGATAAAGAAAACAATAATAAAATCTAGAAATAATCACGCATTACAAAATTTTAATAATTAAACAAAGTTTATTTAACTAACGGAAACTATTTAATTTTAATTAAAAGATTAAACTACAATAACTAAAACAAAAAATCTTGATACAAATCTTTTATTTTTTCATAAGAAAGAAACAATTAAAATTGTTTATATATTTTTATCTTTATATATTTTTGAAGAAAAAACAAAAAACACAAAAAAGAAAGTTAATTGTTGTTCGAAATATCAACAAAAAGCATCTTTTATTTGTACGTAAAAAAATACCAACAACAACAACATCAAAATAATAAAAAATTTAAAAAATAAACAAAACTCAAGAAAAAAAGTTTAAGTTTAACACTATGGCTCGTCTTCTGCAATTTAATGTAGCGAAAGTTTTACTGGCATTTGGTTTGTTTCTAAGTATCCACTCCAATCTGCAGTCTACGAACGCCTCTTCCATACCAATTTGGGAATTTTTAACACGTAATGAAAAGGTGAGTACAAACAAACATACATATGTATATGTATTTGGTGGCGATCTTTTACAAAACTGTTCAATATGTTAGGTCTTTTTTCTTACCGGTTGGGTTGTGTTAATATTATTTGTAATCATCTTGAAAATATTTTGTTTGTTTTTAAACTTGTTTTTTACATAAACAAAATCTCAAAAAAGAAAAATAAATTCCAGTTATTATTTAGTCACCAACCGTTTTTTACATACTTACATATGTATGTATATGTATGTTATGCATCTTTTTAGTGCTTTTTTGAAATTTTAATGTAAATTACATATTTGGGCCCCACTGAAGGTAAAATGTTCCTGGATTAAAGTCAGGTTTTTGAACTTTTATAAAATTGCAAAATTTCCAAAAGAAGTTTATATATAATTTTGTTATTTTTACACATAACACCACTCGCTATTTTATGAAATTCATTATCACATAATCGAGTCTTTTATAACACTTCATACTTATTTAAGATATAATTCATACTTTTAGATACTCTTTTATGATCTGATCACTTTTGTGTCATACTTGCAATCAGTTGTGATTGTGTTTTTTTATTATAAAAATATCATTTTTTATCTTAAGTTTGGATCATTTACGAATCCTTTTTATTAGCTAGACTGAACTAGCACTGAACTAGAACTGAACTAGAACTGAACTAGAACTGAACTAGAACTGAACTAGAACTGAACTAGAACTGAACTAGAACTGAACTAGAACTGAACTAGAACTGAACTAGAACTGAACTAGAACTGAACTAGAACTGAACTAGAACTGAACTAGAACTGAACTAGAACTGAACTAGAACTGAACTAGAACTGAACTAGAACTGAACTAGAACTGAACTAGAACTGAACTAGAACTGAACTAGAACTGAACTAGAACTGAACTAGAACTGAACTAGAACTGAACTAGAACTGAACTAGAACTGAACTAGAACTAGAAACTGAACTAGAACTGAACTAGAACTGAACTAGAACTGAACTAGAACTGAACTAGAACTGAACTAGAACTGAACTAGAACTGAACTAGAACTGAACTAGAACTGAACTAGAACTGAACTAGAACTAGAACTGAACTAGAACTGAACTAGAACTGAACTAGAACTGAACTAGAACTGAGCTAGAACTGAACTAGAACTGACTAGAACTGAACTAGAACTGAACTAGAACTGAACTAGAACTGAACTAGAACTGAACTAGAACTGAACTAGAACTGAACTAGAACTGAACTAGAACTGAACTAGAACTGAACTAGAACTGAACTAGAACTGAACTAGAACTGAACTAGAACTGAACTAGAACTGAACTAGAACTGAACTAGAACTGAACTAGAACTGAACTAGAACTGAACTAGAACTGAACTAGAACTAGAACTAGAACTGAACTAGAACTGAACTAGAACTAGAACTAGAACTAGAACTGAACTAGAACTGAACTAGAACTGAACTAGACTGAACTAGAACTGAACTAGAACTGAACTAGAACTGAACTAGAACTGAACTAGAACTGAACTAGAACTGAACTAGAACTGAACTAGAACTGAACTAGAACTGAACTAGAACTGAACTAGAACTGAACTAGAACTGAACTAGAACTGAACTAGAACTGAACTAGAACTGAACTAGAACTGAACTAGAACTGAACTAGAACTGAACTAGAACTGATCTAGAACTGAACTAGAACTGAACTAGAAACTGATCTAGAACTGAACTAGAACTGAACTAGAACTGAACTAGAACTGAACTAGAACTGAACTAGAACTGAACTAGAACTGAAACTAGAACTGAACTAGAACTGACTAGAACTGAACTAGAACTGAACTAGAACTGAACTAGAACTGAACTAGAACTGAACTAGAACTGAACTAGAACTGAAACTAGAACTGAACTAGAACTGAACTAGAACTGAACTAGAACTGAACTAGAACTGAACTAGAACTGAACTAGAACTGAACTAGAACTGAACTAGAACTGAACTAGAACTGAACTAGAACTGAACTAGAACTGAACTGCACTTGAACTGAACTAGAACTGAACTAGAACTGAACTAGAACTGAACTAGAACTGAACTTGAACTGAACTAGAACTGAACTAGAACTGAACTAGAACTGAACTAGAACTGAACTAGAACTGAATTAGAACTGAACTAGAACTGAACTAGAACTGAACTAGAACTGAACTAGAACTGAACTAGAACTGAACTAGAACTGAACTAGAACTGAACTAGAACTGAACTAGAACTGAACTAGAACTGAACTAGAACTGAACTAGAACTGAACTAGAACTGAACTAGAACTGAACTAGAACTGAACTAGAACTGAACTAGAACTGAACTAGAACTGAACTAGAACTGAACTAGAACTGAACTAGAACTGAACTAGAACTGAACTAGAACTGAACTAGAACTGAACTAGAACTGAACTAGAACTGAACTAGAACTGAACTAGAACTGAACTAGAACTGAACTAGAACTGAACTAGAACTGAACTAGAACTGAACTAGAACTGAACTGACTAGAACTGAACTAGAACTGAACTAGAACTGAACTAGAACTGAACTAGAACTGAACTAGAACTGAACTAGAACTGAACTAGAACTGAACTAGAACTAAACTGGAAGTAAACTAGAACTGAACTAGAACTAACTAGCACTGAATGGACCCATATTAAAGGATTTATTTCAATAATGAATCCCTACTTCAAACTACAAGATTCTAGAATTAAAATTCTACATTCAAATCAAAATATTAATTTAAAATTCTTTATAAATTTAAAACATAAATTGATGTGACAACAACATAAAAAGTAAGTCGGATTGATTGACCTTTAAAAAAAAAGACTCAATAAAGAATATTAACAATATATTCTATGTTTTAACATAATTCTCTATAAATAAAAACAATAACAACTACAAAATAATCACAAATTTGCAACATAATGCTGAGCAATCGAATGCTGAGAATCGTTAAAAAAAAATCTATGAATAAATAAAATGCAAAATCAGTTTAAAACTAATACTTGATAAGCCGGTAATAATGAGTGAATTAATAAAAATAATAAAATCACAAAAAAAACACATAAAACATTATTTATAAACGTCTAACAAGTTTTTACAGTTTGTTTTTTCTTTTTTTGTTTTTTTTGCTGTTCAAGCACAATCACGTTTTGGCATGTTGTTTTTTTCACAAAATCCTAGAAGAATTCAAATTTAAAACTATAACAATATATTATGAAAATAATAATAAAAAAAATTAAAACAAAAATCACCTTCATCTTAAATAAACACTACTAATATTTATAGATCCCCACTTTTTGTTAAATAACCTTAACTCTATCATAACTTAACTCTCTAACCAAAATGAAGGCTTTTAAATTTTAAAGAATATTGAAAAAACAAATATCACAATAGCAACAAAACAAATATGATTGTGGTTTTTAACTCATCAAAGAAAAAAATTTTAAATTTCAATTTTTTAAAATTCTTTAAATAAATTATAAATTTTGAGAATTTTTAAACATTTAAATTTATAGAAATATTTTTTTTTTTAAAATTTAATTTTTAAATATTCATAAGAACATTTATTTTGAAAATATGCTAATTTTTTATTTACGTAAAGAAAGGTTTTTTAAATTAATTAATAAAGGCCACTGGCGCCTATTACGTTTCAAATTCATTAGTATTGAATTTTTTCAAATAACACTTAGTCATTATTTCAGCTAGTTTTGTTTTGTTGAACAACAATCAACAATTATTTTATTTAATTAAAACATTTAAGTTATTTTTTGTATTACTTAATTTTGTTTGATATTTTTTAGGAGAATCCATATAAAAATTGGAATTATTTTTTAATACAATGAATGTCAAGGTTTAAGCAATAAAAACATTTCATCATGATTTTGAAATCATAGATTTCTATAAATTTTAATAGATATTTCTTAAAAGAAAACTACAAAACATACATGCAGTTTTAAAAACATATTTGAAAAACATTTTTCGAATATCTTGCCCAATTTAGTAAAAGTTCGGCTGTGCTACATCGTGCAAATAATCTTCTAATAATTTTTCGTTAAAAATTAAATAAATAAAATTTGTTTTGATAAAATTATGATTTATCAAAAAACTAGTTAATTTTTAGTACAGTTCTAGTTCAGTTGTAGTTCAGTTCTAGTTTAGGTCTATTTCAGTTCTAGTTCAGTTCTAGTTCAGTTCTAGTTCAGTTCTAGTTCAGTTATAGTTCAGTTCTAGTTCAGTTCTAGTTCAGTTCTAGTTCAGTTCTAGTTCAGTTCTAGTTCAGTTCTAGTTCAGTTCTAGTTCAGTTCTAGTTCAGTTCTAGTTCAGTCTAGTTCAGTTCTAGTTCAGTTCTAGTTCAGTTCTAGTTCAGTTCTAGTTCAGTTCTAGTTCAGTTCTAGTTCAGTTCTATTCAGTTCTAGTTCAGTTCTAGTCAGTTCTAGTTCAGTTCTAGTTCAGTTCTAGTTCAGTTCTAGTTCAGTTCTAGTTCAGTTCTAGTTCAGTTTTAGTTCAGATCTAGTTCTAGTCAGTCTAGTTCAGTTCTAGTTCAGTTCTAGTTCAGTTCTAGTTCAATTCTAGTTCAGTTTCTAGTTCAGTTCTAGTTAAGTTCTAGTTCAGTTCTAGTTCGTTCTAGTTCAGTTCTAGTTCAGTTCTAGTTCAGTTCTAGTTCAGTTCTAGTTCAGTTCTAGTTCGTTTCTAGTTCAGTTCTAGTTCAGTTCTAGTTCAGTTCTAGTTCAGTTCTAGTTCAGTTCTAGCTAGTTCAGTTCTAGTTCAGTTCTAGTTCAGTTCTAGTTCAGTTCTAGTTCAGTTCTAGTTCAGTTCTAGTTTCAGTTTCTAGTTCCTGTTTTAGTTTAGTTTTCAGTTCAGTTCTAGTTCAGTCTAGTTCATTCTAGTTCAGTTCTAGTCAGTTCTAGTTCAGTTCTAGTTCAGTTCTAGTTCAGTTCTAGTTCAGTTCTAGTTCAGTTCTAGTTCAGTTCTA